GCACAAACAAGATGTCTGGAACAGCTACCTTTAGGTCACCGGTTTTCGTTAGTCTCAGGAAGGCCTAGTAGGATATTATTTAAGAGAATAGATATTTCAGAGAACCACAGATCCTGATCTAACCGATGACAAAATACCCAGAGGCAGAATGCATTGCTTCGTACCTGCACAGGGCTCCCCAAAGTTCCTCAGCATGCATTATGCTCTTGCTACTAACTGAAAGTGTTCTGAGGCTGAGTATATTCTCCTACACTATGAGACTAACTGTATTTTAGTCCTCTTTATCACAGAAGGAGATGCTGTCACATAACATTATAGCTTTTCAGATACAGCAATGTGACAAATGCCTGGGAACTTGTCACAGCTCCAAACCTGGAATAATTACCTCTGTATCACTCAGGAATGGAAGACCCCAAGACCTGCCTCTGACTCACAAAGAGTCTCTCTTTTCACTCCTCCACACCCAAAAAGAAAAGAAGTTAACAGCAGTTTTAATGGTAGCAGAAAGCTTCTATTTATCTGAAAAAAAAACTGGTACATATAAAACCAGTAACTTCTTATCTGCCCTTAAGTATTATAATCAAGAACACTTGAATCCTCACTGCTAATATATGCCACAAGAGCCTTACGGGCACTGTCATCCAGGCTGTTTAATTTACAAATAGTCCTGCATTAGAGTGCTGCAAAGCCATTTTCTCTCTAGGAGCAGTGCCAGAGATTAAACCTCTGCAGACCTCTGCAAATGTTCCAGCGAAGCTATATTAGCGTAAAACTGGAGCAATGGGATGCATTCCATATTCCATCAAACAGGTGCATGCCCTTGACTATCATCCTTGATTATCAAAGGCAGAACCAAGAATGTGATTCATGCAAGAATTGATGTAGGAAATTGGGTGCACTGGCTGCAGAAGTTCAGTCATTTTTATTCATGTGCTGCAGAGCTGAACATCTTCAGCTCACTGCTGTGAAGCTTAAGCAGAGGACACACTGCAGTACAACAGTCAGACACTTTTATGGCTCACTTTCCATCTGTGTTTTATGGTCAGCTGTATGTGCCAGACTACTAAATAATGGCATGCTTATATCTTGCTAAGAAATGCTTGTGCATATGTGCGTGGAAATATTATATAAGTATTAAAAGGTAGGAGTGCAATTGTGTATACCCCACATACATTTTATTGCTACCTATGTGGTAAGGAGAAAAACCTCTCAAAAGTTCAAAAATAAATGAGCTATAGGGGATGAATTTCTCAACTGTTCATCTAGATTCCTGATCAGTTGGAGCACACATCCTGGTAAGGAGGAATTCAGACTATGCTTAAGTTCATACAAACCATAGATATAAGATATTGCCTCTTAATTGAGCTTGCAGATCACAAATAAACTGATTTTGTCTCCCTTTTTATTTTTATTGTCCTGCATACTGGAAAGTTTTTGGAAGGAAAGAGGGTAGATGACTGCCTTGTGAGCCTTTCAGATACTCTTAACGGCATAGGAAACGCAGACTCTTCTTTGCACTGTATCACTAACAAGGCATAAGCAGAAAACACCACTGTATAACACACAGGGATGTAGAGATTTTTATCTTATATATTCATCAGCTTCTACAGCTGAAGGCATGTGCAATAACCAACGTACTCATCTAGTTCTGCAAGAATTCTAAAAACCTGAATTTTTCAAAGGAGCTGGGTCCAAATTCCTTTGGGATTGAATGGAAATTTGGCATTTAGAGATATGTGGAACTCCTATTTGAATCATGATGCTCAGGATATATTAGATACTTACATATTAGATACTTACATACTCAGCCAGCTAGCACACATGCATTCATTTTAATTCAATATTAGCTTGAGAAAGAATTGGGTAAAAACAATAATTCAAAAACAACGACAACTGAAAACTATTAAAATGTTCTTTACAATGCCATTATAATGTGGGGAAAAATATTTCCAAGAAAAAGTTAAAAAAAGCAAGAAGAGACTTAGAGAAGTATTGGGTGGGAAAAACACAATAGAAGTTACAAATGTCAGCTAGATGAAGAGACAGACATTGATTCTATTGCTCTCTTCCAACCCCAGCACATTACTGCTATGGAATACCCATGTAGAGGAAATTGATGGGCACATACAGTATCCTATTTAATCTGACTGATTCCAATCCTGCACACTGCAGTGTAAATGGGTTGTTACAACCATTAAGGATGAATTAATACTGATGAGCACAGACTCAGAAATTCATACCAAATCATGCGAGGGGCAAAAAGGAATCTGCTGCAATTCATCAGAAGTTTATTTATCTGAGAAATGTCTACGATTATTCTTTCAAATTTTATGGCATCATAAAATAATACTTTTCAGCTGACAGCTTTAAGACAGGTGAAATCATTCACAACAAAACAACACGTTTGAAAAGATGGAGCTCATATCCTCAGCTAGCCTAAGCTGTCAGGGCTTCAGTGACAGTGACAGGCCATTGCCAATGTAGGCAAGCTCCTAACGTGGCCCTCAGTTAGGAGTCTAACCCCTTACTTCTCATGTTGTTGGCAAAGGGCCCATTCGATGCAATTAGATGTTATAAAGGAGTAAATAATCTCTTTTTGAATGGGCTGGACTGCTGCACATTTTTCTGCAGCTGGCAAGGTAGTCTTCTTACCTCTCCAGTATCTTTTTGTTATTCACACTTAATTCCTGCAATCAAACAAAGGTAGATCACCTACGTAGCTGACTCTGGGAATTTAGAACTAACCCTTGAAACTGCAGGAGGGAATCTGCCATTGGACTTTGTAGTCCTGAATCCAAAGAGTAAACAAAGCTAATGAATCTTCTAATTAAGGATTCACTGATAGAGCTCAGCTGGCTTGTTGTTTCCTCTAGTCCTTGTAATCAAGAGGCAGAACAAATCTCAAAGTGAGCAAATTAATGTTACTGTGTGCAGCAAAACAGAATTGGTGTGATAATAAGATAATGTAAGCTGCTCAGGCACTTACTGTAGTGGCACAAACAAAGCAAATAGCAGTTCAAAAGAAATAAATACTCGTGAACATTTCTTCTGTGACTCTCAGATCTTATATTTCAGCCCTTGGGATCAAAATTCCTCATGGACTTCGATAATTCATGTTGGTGTCTCATTTTAAAAGGGCTATTTAGAATACAGGAAGCAGATTTTCTAAAATGTCAGATTCATCACAATTTATAAAATTCAGCACAAGAAAGAGAATCCAAGTAAAACAGAGATTTACATTTGTTCACTCCATTCAATTCCTTCAGAGATCTTTGTTTCATTTTAGGTGCAATATTTAAGATCTGGATTCCAAAATCCAGTAAAAGGAAAAGATAACAGGATCCCTCACTCCTGCTTGTGCCTTTCAAAATTTTCCCATGATAGGAAGAGTATTAGTGTTACACTACAGTGATTTTCAAGTACGTTCAGCTTATGGTCAAAGATTCAAAATACCCCAGAGAGGTAGAAATTGCAGCATACGTGGAAATAAAGCCCAGAGAAAATTATTTGGGGTTCCCATTCATCCTCACAAAGGCGATGAAAGAGAGAAGTAGTTATAAACAAACAAACAAACACATTGTAGGAAAAACTGAAATCCTCAATCAGACTTTTCTTACTGAGGGGCTTCAGTGAGAATTCTCTTATTCAGTTTTTACAGCAGAGCTCTCTGTGGTGAGATCAATAAAAGGACCTATAGGGACAGCTCAGCAGAACGCATGCCTTACTGCAATCCCTCAGCAGGAAGGTACTGGCACAAAACATGGACTGCTACAGTGGACCTTTTCCAGCTCTTTCCCTTCTTCAAAACTGCTCTGGTCAATCTTATCAATTAAACAAACCAACCAATGAAACATGGTGTCACTGAATGCTAATATGTGGAATTTTGGATTCGCAGTAAAATTGAGAAAATAAGTTTCTTAATCACACTTTGCCACGTGTAATGTCTCTCAGCTGCCTGCTTTGTGAAAATAGGTACCATGGACAGAACAAGCTCTCACCCTCTCATTTTACATTGTGTTGTGCAACGTCGTATGTTACACATCGGAGCTATGAAACTTCTGTAGTGGGAATGCCTGATTCTCTACTTTCCAAAGAATAGAAAAAAAATAAAAGGATAAGCAATGTATTTGTTTTTCTGACTCAAGAATGTGCAGTTTCTGTGCAAATTCAAATGGAGCAGACCAAACTCATTTTATGCTTCTGAAATAGGACCAGGTGCAGACAGTGCACGCTTGTTTCTCCCATCTACCACAAACCCAATCACACCTGTTAGATTTTCTGCCAGGGAAGCCAATCTTTGATGCAAATAAGCAAAAGGCAAACCCCACTGGGTTTCAATGCCTGAGTGTTTTCCAGTACAGGAGAATTCTTCACTGACTCTGCTTGCACTATTCCCTGATGCTCATGAGGTCCTACCACAGGAGAAAGTTTGGCCCCAGACCTGAACTTTTCCTGGCTTCATGCTTATAGGAAAGGGAATTTTGCCAACACTGATGTGCTGTTCCAGAGTTCATTTGCTTTTGCTTACGCAGCACTAGTAAATGATTGCACAGCTGCCATTTTATCCTATTATGAATAATACAGAAATGATATTAATGGCAATCCACTCTCATTTAGGTCAGCCAATTCAGGGAAGGTTTTCAAGGGATGAACCTGGCCTTACAATTCTTTTTTCTAAAGTCTGTAGTAGATGAAATCAGGAGACTCACACCTAATTAAAACAGCAAGACAGTAGCTGTAGGTAACTTCAGCAGATGGAAATAGAGGTAATGCTAGCAGCTGGGTGACTCAGCTCATCTCCAGTGACCGCCTGTCTACTTTTTTTCAATGCAGTCTTAAACAGACAAGGTGAACAGCAAAAAGGATTAAAAGAGAGACAAAGAAAGCACAAAAAACAGAGTCAACGTTAGTAACTCTTTGCCTGAAAATTTGAATTTCCAAGGTAGGATGCAATGAGCATTGGCTTTTCCTTCATGATTGTAACAAAAGTTCATCCTTACCACTGAGTCACGCTGAAATTCAACGCTACAGGGCTGTCTGCAGACATGCCTTCACATCTTGGCATTGCTGGAGAAGAAGAAGGGGTTTTCCATCATTTTCCCTCTCTAAAATTATATCAAAAAGACATACAAATAAGAATAATAATGGACTACAATTACAACCCTTATTGTCCTGGGATATGGAGTGAAGGGATTTTAGAAGCTGAGGTATGTTCATTTATTAATACATAGTATAGCATTCGATACTATTAATAATTAAATCTTATGCTCAAATTGAATTTGGAAGAGAGTAACATTAATCCATTGGCTTGACACAAAGTATGTCAGTTTGCATTTCTTGAGTATCCCATAACTATTTGTTACTTAGAAGCTCACTGAATTTCCAACCAAACCTACTGTGAATCTTCCCATCTGCTACAGTGCCTACATTGCTCATTTACTTCCCCACCTGCTCTGCAGTCTACACAAACTGCCTCTCTGGGGGCAAAAGTGAAAAATAACCATCCAGTTAAAGTTATAATTTATTAGCACATAAAACCATACCTGTGCAGCTGTACCCTGTGTATTTAATACCTGAATAATGGCAAGCTGTTCTAATATGCATGAATGTAGCTGCTACTGAATGGTTTTTTTGAATCAAACTTAGGTAAAAGACTCACTTGCACCACTTGTAAAATGAGAGCAATTCCATCGATCTTCATGGGGACATTTTCAATTTGCAAAACAACTGATTTACTGTGAAAGCAATGTGTGAGCTTTTATTTGCTCTTTGCATACTTGATTCTATCCAGCATGAGCTCAAATGAAAGAGATTATAGCTTTCTGCCTTTGATGGGCCATTGCCTTTCACAGCTTAGTACCCTTCATCCTTAAGTACGCTGTAACCTATGGAAGTGACACCAAACAACAGGTAATATTCTGAGAGCACCACAAGACAGAAGGAAACACGATGAAACCATCCCTGCCTCACTTTTACTAGACAATTCACATTAGGCAAGCATATCTTTATGCAAGAAATACCTGGGCACCATTGCAATTAGTGACAGGTACACAGATTCTACGTCTTTCTCCTTTCTTTAGGGAGCAAGAAAACGTTTTTGCAGTACTTCCTTCTAATAAGTGCTGCTTCAGCATTTACTCCTTCCTCAAGCAAAACATGGAAAGAAAATGTTTTGTACTAAAATTAGCCTTTCTGATCCAGAGAGACGACATACCACCACCTTTTGCAGCACCCATGGAAACATTTGGGCCAGGTTTCCCTATTTTACCGTTAAGATGCAATCTCTGCTGTGTAAATACCGTTTTATCTTAATTAACAGCAGCTCATTACCTGGGCCAGGGGTGGCTGTGATGGAGCCGTGCAGCTTTGGTCTCTGCTGTAGTCAGATTGTGCCAAATATTCAGTCCTTATGGTCCAAGTCTCAGGCAGATTTGCCTCTGTGAGTATTTCAAGGGACGAAGCATAGCTAGATAACCAGGAATCAGTGCATTTTGCTGGTACAACAAACCACATACTGTGTTTTCTTTCACCTTTAGCTGGCCATTAGGCACCACAAGGCACGTGGTGAGGACAGAAGCAGAAGGCTGAGCCTCGCTATAACTGCAAACATACTGGGGAAAGTAAGGAGAAATGAGCTATTTATACACACATTCGGGGTTTCTGAGGTACAAGAGGGGGTTGCAGTGACTGTTTAATATCGTGATCCGAGGTCGGGCTTTGCAACCCCGGGTTCCGTCAGAGCGGCGCGAAGGGGAGAACAGAGAGAAAATGGCGGCGCGGCACGGGGCAGGCGTGGGGCTCAGCGAACTGGAGCTGAAGGAAGCCCCAGAGGAGCCTGCACACAGCCCACACGCCTCAGCCCTCCCTCCGGGAAGCACCGGAGCGAACAAACCACCCCAGAGCATCGCAGACCCCCACCGACACCACAGCCGCGCCCTCAGCGCAGCGCTCCGCCCCGGCCCCGCCCGGCGGCCGTTCCTCCCGCCCTCCCCGCCCATAAATAGCGGCGCTCGGGCGGCGCCGATCCGCAGAGCCCTCGCTGAGCCCCCCGCAGCCATGAGCTCGTACGGCTACGATCCGTTCTTCCCCTCCTACAAGCGGCGCTACGCCGACAGCCCGCGGCTGCACGTCTCCGCGATGCGGAGCGGCGGTTACAGCTCGGCGCGCTCGGCGTATTCCAGCCTCTCCGCGCCCGTCTCCTCCGTGTCGGTGCGCCGCAGCTACGCCGCCTCCAGCGCTTCGGGCTCCCTCCTGCACTCCGTGGACAGCCTCGACCTGAGCCAGGTGGCCGCCATCAGCAACGACCTCAAGTCGATCCGCAGCCAGGAGCGGGCCCAGCTGCAGGACCTGAACGACCGCTTCGCCTGCTTCATCGAGCGGGTGCACGAGCTGGAGCAGCAGAACAAAGTGCTGGAGGCGGAGCTGCTGGTGCTGCGGCAGAAGCACGCCGAGCCGTCCCGCTTCAGAGCCCTGTACGAGCAGGAGATCCGCGAGCTGCGCCTGGCCGCCGAGGAGGCGACGAGCGAGAAGCAGGCGCTGCAGGGCGAGAGGGAGAGCCTGGAGGAGACCCTGCGGGGGCTGCAGGCTCGCTACGAAGAGGAGGTGCTGAGCCGCGAGGACGCCGAGGCCCGGCTGCTGGAGGTGCGCAAGGGAGCGGACGAGGCGGCGCTGGCGCGGGCGGAGCTGGAGAAGCGCGTGGACAGCCTGCTGGACGAGCTGGCCTTCCTCAAGAAGGTGCACGAGGAGGAGCTGGCCGAGCTGCAGGCTCAGATCCAATACGCGCACCTGTCGGTGGAGATGGACGTGTCGGCCAAACCCGACCTGTCGGCCGCGCTGCGCGACATCCGAGCGCAGTACGAGAAGCTGGCGGCGCGCAACATGCAGAACGCCGAGGAGTGGTTCCGCAGCCGCTTCACCGTGCTCAGCGAAAGCGCCGCTAAGAACACCGACGCCGTCCGCGCCGCCAAGGACGAGGTGTCCGAGAGCCGCCGGCTGCTCAAGGCCAAGACGCTGGAAATCGAGGCCACCCGCGGCATGAACGAGGCGCTGGAGAAGCAGCTGCAGGAGCTGGAGGAGAAACAGAGCGCCGACATCTCCGCGCTGCAGGTGGGCGGGTGGGGGGTGCGGCCGCGGAGCGTTATGTCGTGACATAATGCCGCTTCGTGTTTGTGGTCTGCGGCATCCGTGAGGATGCTGCCATAAATGGGCTTAGAAATAGCCTGACAGGTAGAAAAAGCAGAAGGGGGAAAGCACGAGCATCAGGACCAGCAGCAGAGCAAAGCACGAGCATCAGAACCAGCAGCAGAGCAAAGCATGCACAGCATTAGTCCTTAAATAAGAGAATTAGTACAAATTCCCTTAAAATATCCTGGTAACACTGGGGTTGATGTTAGAAATGAAGCCAAGCGTGCACAGCTCGTGGATGTTCTGGTGCTTAAATAATCAAAATTGCCTTGGAAATAGCTTTAGTGATAGAGAGAGCACAGGGGAATGCATAGATGTTAGAAATAAAGTGAGGCATATGCGGCTCATCGATGCTTCAGTCCTCAAATAACAGAATTTCAATGGATTCACTTAAAGTTAGAAAAAACATGAGGAGGAAGCACAGATGTCAAATAACAAAGCATGCACAGCTCATGAATGGTTTAGCCCTTGAATCATAGGAAATCTTATTCCTTAGATGATAAGGAATAAAGCTATTGTAGAGATGTAAGGGTGGAAGATGCCTCAGCAAGGTGGGCATTGCTAAGTGATGCTGCTTTGTGCAGTTTGGAATTTGGAGCTGTTCTCCTTCTATCAACAGCAAGGTGAAGTGAGGAGGGTGCTGAAATTCCTTGCAAGTGTTGTTGCTAGACAAAGGTCTTTGCATTGCTGTGTTCTTCCTTCCAACAGGATACAATCAACAAACTAGAGAACGAATTGAGAACCACAAAGAGTGAAATGGCTCGGTACCTAAAGGAATACCAGGATCTGCTCAACGTGAAAATGGCCCTGGACATTGAGATTGCTGCATACAGGTATGATGGGGATGTGTTTCAATAAGTCATAACATGGATCAGGTTCTCCTTACTATGGGTACTCCTGCTTAGCCTTCCTTTAGCAGAGAGTGCCATTGGTGGCAGAATTTAATCAGATTTTCTCGTTGGCTTTCTATTTGGAAGAAACAGAGCTTTTAAGGTAACAGCTTGTGTTAAGCAAAATCTGTGCTGCATAGCAAACATGAGCATCATACTGTGCATATATATGCATACCCAGTTAGGAACTCAGCTGTGTAAGTGTGTTCTGTACCTAGGAGCTCAGAAATCTCTTCACTCTAAAAAGCTTTTACATCATTAAGATTTGTTAATATAAGTGGCTTTATTCTCAGAACTAGAAATCCCTTAGATACTTTTAACAACAGGATTTCTTTCTAACTTACAAACTATGTCTTGCTAAACCATTATTTTACAGAAGAATTGCTTTTAAATAGCAAAAAAAAATCATCCCAGATACCAGTAGCAATTGTAAATGCTGAAATGGTTTCTATGAGTACCACAGAGGGAATACTGAAGATGGCTATAAACCTTGTCCTACAGTTAACTGTGGCACAGAGCTGCTACATCCATACTGTTCTCTGGAACAACATAGGTTATCAAAATACATCTGTATCTATACTTGTTGTAGAAACCTAATCCTGGGGGTGTTTTCCCCGTTATTTCTCCCAGTGGGAATTACTAATTTCAAAGCAATACACATCTCTGAAGCTTTAAAATTCTCCCTAGAAGATCAGGCTGCTATTGCTATACCATTACTGGGGTTATATTTGCACTCCCAAGTATGCAGTCTCTAGGGCTTGTGCTGCTCAAAGCATATTGGTCCATAATTGAGTCTGCTAAACACTGCAGCGTAGCTAAGATATCTGCTTGCTTTTTTTTCTGCTAGGAAACTGCTGGAAGGTGAAGAGACCCGACTCAGTTTCACCAGTGTTGGAAGCATCACCAGTGGCTACACCCAGACTGCCCCCACCTTTGGCAGGTCTGCCTACGGCGGGCTGCAGTCCACCTCCTACTTGATGACAACCCGTTCCTTCCCCACATACTACTCTAGTCATGTCCAGGAAGAACAGATTGAAATAGAGGAAACAATTGAGGCTGCTAAAGCAGGAGAAGCCAAGGCAGCCCCTGCAGAGGAAGGTGAGGAGGAAGAGAAAGAGGAAGGTGAGGAGGAAGAAGCAGGAGGTGAAGAGGCTGAAGAAGAGGAGGAAGGTACTTAGAGCTTTCAAAGCCTTCTCTTCCATGCTTCACCTTGCTTATATAGGGGTAAAACCCCAATATTCTGTAAGTTAGCTCTAATGAGTAGAACTCTCTCACTATTCCTTCATAAACAAAGATTGGAGAGATGAAGCCCATAGTATTTGAGCAAGAATAGCTGAATTTAGAACAGAAGGTAAGGTAGATGTTCAATGACAGACACTGTAGAGCTGTATTCCCTTGGAAACTGCTGGTTGTTTCCATTCCGTTTTTCTAAGAGATGAGAGTACACTAAAAGCAGGTAATGCTGTATTCATCTGGCAGCAAGTAATGTTCAGCTGTTACAGATATCCTTATAAGAAAAGAAGGAAAAATCCTGAAATGTTATCAGAGTGTCTGGAAAAATGGGGCCATTAGTTGATGTCTGTGGGCGTAACCATTGGGTTCAGTGGACAGCAGTTCCTGTTGCCTGGTAGTTTTCCTGCTTTCTTAACCAAAGTACATGCCAGTTAATTGCTGCCACCCTATTTATTTAATAAACTCATTTTTAAAGGATAGAATATAAAAGGAATGTTGTGTAGCTCTGGCTTTAGGCATATCTGATAAGCATTGTTTACCACTGAAATGTTCCACAAATTAATTAACGTTACAGTAAAGCAATGGCTGAAGAGCCAACTGGGGAGCAATAGCAAACGCTGTTTTTGAACTCAAATATTTAGATAAGGCTTAAACAATAAGCCTGCAGTTAATTAGTATTTTTCAGGACTGATTTTTCGAAAGAGTTATGTGAAGTGTTTAATTCAGTCTGAAATCTGGGGTAAGCTGGTTGTGTGGGTTTGTCTGTGACCTTTATGTGTCCTAGATAGGTCCCTGCTTTCATACAGAAATCCAGTGCTAGCCCCATCAAGCTTAGTTTGGCTGTCATCTGCATGCATGGGGATGAAGGGTGCTGGCTTGTGTGGAATTGGGGTTGGGAACTGATTCGAAGCAGTGTAAGAGATGTGGAATTCTTTTTGCCTTTGAAAGGTGCTAAGGAAGAATCAGAAGAAGGCAAAGAAGGTGAGGAGGAGGAAGGAGAAGAAACAGCAGCTGAAGATGGAGAGGAGTCTCAAGAAACTGCTGAGGAAACTGGAGAGGAGGAGAAGGAAGAGAAAGAAGCAGCAGGAAAGGAAGAAACTGAAGTGAAG